ACAGCATACTTTCTTTGGAGTCAGTGTGCCTTGGCACCAGGAAAGGGCCTGTAATGAATGAGGACATGGGTGGTGAAAGTTGGGCACATTTTTGCAAACATACTGAAGAGGTCTGTTTCCCTGGTTAGTGTAACTCTGTCAAGTTGATAAAAATTTTCAACTCAAGGTAGAAGTGATACTTTGTTAGTCTGTAATCATCCCTTATTCCTTATTGGCATTTAAGGTTAAATATATTTCTTATGTCCCTATATGGTATTCTATAGTCAAATATAATTGAAAAAAAAAACTCATTTATGTTTGCTGRTTTAGAACCATAACTGAAGAACGTTAATATTAATAAAGAGTACCCATAGTTTTTTTTAAAGGAAAGGCCTTTCTGGAGAAAATTCTGAAAGTTCTTTGATCTGAAATGTGCAAGGAAATTATACTGATTAGAAAGAGAATTTGAAAAAGAACAGTAAGGAGTCTGAGAATAAACAAGTTTAATCAACTGCTAAATTTTTTGGATATCATTCTCTTTTGCTCACCTGTTCAACCATCTTCTCTTAATAGGGAGTAAAGGAGCAAAAGTCTTGTAGAAGCTGAGGAGCCTTACTAACCTGTTCATCAGTTTAGGGAAACTCTGCCCATTTTAGTCATTGAGTGGCCTCTCCTGGCTGGCTGTCTTCTTTCAGCTTAGCAGTAAAACCAGAGAATGGGCTTGACTCAAATTAAGAAGTATTTTTCTTTGGTATAAATTTGTGGTCTCATTTGTTGGAGATTTAGAAATAATTGTAATATTTAGGGTTATAGTCTCTGCCTAATTGAGATTAATTGAGTAAATATGGATTAAAAGAGTAATTTCTTAGAGCAAAAATTTCTTTGAATCGGCTCACATTTTTTGTTGKTTTTTTGTTGTTTATTATGGAATTGTAGCATACATTTTCTTTTTTATTTCCTCCTATTTTGAAAGTGTCTGCTCATATTTTGACCTGTTCTCTGAAGGTTCCTGTGAGAGGAATAGAGAGAGCTTGGGAAATAAGCAAATGTATTTTTGTCTTTGTCTCCTGCAGGTCCCAGCAGAGATGGCACAATCAGCGAGGACACCATTCGAGCCTCTCTTATCTCAGCAGTCAGTGACAAACTGAGGTGGCGAATGAAAGAGGAAATGGATCGCGCTCAGGCTGAGCTCAATGCCTTGAAACGAACAGAGGAAGACCTGAAAAAAGGTCACCAGAAACTGGAAGAGATGGTCACCCGTTTAGATCAAGAAGTAGTAAGTAATTCATCCAAGACTTTTGAGATTTGGGAATTGAAGTTTAGTCATGGCAAAATGTTCTGTGTATACCATGGGTATGCATGGATTAAAGAGTTTAGAAAATTATAGGTGTCTAGGGCTGGAGTTGTGGCTCAGAGCACTTGCCTGGCATGTGGAAGGCCCTGGGTTCAATCCTCAGCACCACATTCAAATAAATAAAAGCTCCATTTACAACTAAAAAATATTTTTATATATATATGTGCGTGTGTGTGTGTATAATTTTAGAAATTTGACTATAGCTTCTTTATAGCATTATTTAAAATAGAGCCCATGTTTGTTCTTTGGGATGTGATTAATATTTAGAGCATTTTGCTTGCCACCCAAAGAAAGGACTGTTTGAATATGTGATGTTGCCATACAGTTAGAGTTCGAAGCCACAATAAAGATCCATAGACCATGAGTTATAGATTTAAGGGACAGTTCTGTTTCCAAATGTTGTTTAAACCATTTTAGAGTTATCTTCAATGAATTCTTCTAACTTGAGAGAGTCCCATAAACATGGTGTGTTTCTTTGTGACAGATTGTTTTTCTTTAGAGTCAGCGTGTAAATCAGTCCTGTGTCTTTATTTAGTGAAAATGAAGTAAAAGCACTAGCATAACTTGAGAGCCAGTTTCACGTGTCCACTTTTCATACCCATGAGGGAGAATTAATTTCAGTAAATGTGCACTTTTGATTTAAGAGAAAAAAATTATTGCCAGGCATGGTGCACACACCTATAACTCCAGTGACTCAGGAGGCCTAGGTAAGGAGGATCACAAGTTCAAAGCTAGCATCAGAAACTTAGCAAGGCCCTAAGCAACTTAGCTAGACCCTATCTTAAAATAAAAAGGGCTGGGGATGTAGCTCAGTGGTTAAGCACCTCTAGATTCAATCCCCAGAGCAAAAAAAAAAGGTTAAAAATATTGAAATTCAAAGGCTTTGGAGGAAATGATTTGTACCTAGACATGGAGAATGGTTCTAGTATATGTATAAAGTGAACTCTGTAGTGGCCAGCCATTTTCAGAAGTTCAGGAAAGTGACAATAATGTAATTTAGGGCCTACAATCACCACATACAGTATCCTCAAACTAAATAAAGCCAAGTGTTCCTCAGGACTCTGCATTATTACTCTGTGGCAGATGCCCACTTGTTTAGAGGAAGAACCTCTTTTATGTAAAGTGACTTCCTCCTGGAATGCATCTTGTGGATGGCTTAGTTTTCATTATCACTTGTTAACTGATAAGTGCAACTCTTGTCACTGTTACTAAATGTGCTCAACTCAGGATATTTCCACCACTGTCCTGTTTTCATTCAGCCTATTAGATTACCTTTTCCTCTACTTTTGACTAGTGTTATTGTTTTATTAGTCCCTTCCTGTGAAGTTGTCTGATAAGCAAATAATTAGGTACAAATTAGTATAAAGCTTTCATGCATGTACTGTTCTGTTTTCAGGCTGAAGTTAACAAAAACATAGAACTTTTGAAAAAGAAGGATGAAGAACTCAGTTCTGCTCTGGAGAAAATGGAAAATCAATCTGAAAATAATGATATTGATGAAGTTATCATTCCCACAGCCCCACTATATAAACAGATCCTAAATCTGTATGCAGAGGAAAATGCTATTGAAGACACTATCTTTTACCTGGGAGAAGCCTTGAGACGAGGAGTAATAGATCTGGATGTCTTCTTAAAGGTATGTCTTCCTCACTGTTTTCCAGGCTTTTAGATCTTGTGCTATAGGGACACTAACCTTGAAAACCACAAACCAAAAGGGTTTCTCTGTAGGGAAGTTTAAGATAATTTTTCCATACAAGAGCAAGCAGGTGAGATATATGACCATGAACAAGCAGTGTCTTCTTAGAGCGCTGAGGAGCACTCCAAGTAAGGAGAAATTGGGCTAGGGTCTGCAGTTCCTACCCGCCTGGCAGAATCAAGATGGCTGTAACTCTTCTATTATAACTATTGTGTCTGAGTGTATCAAGGGGACATAAATTTACATAGGTTCTTTCAGGTTATACTACTTAAATTGAGATCACTGACTACTCACTCCATCTTTTATCTGTTAATGTTGTATAATTTTAGATTGGTTTTCCCCCGATAAACAGCCCTTTCCAAGGAAGTGGGCTACTCTTTTGAATGAAAATTTTCCTAGGCTTAATGCTGTTATACAGATATGAAAATCTAGTAAGCTGGGTTTGGTTATTGCTGTTTGGTGGGTCATGGAGAATATAGTTTTAAGAATAGCAGCAGCCATCCTTTCGATATTTGGTCCAGCTGCTGTTGGTGCCTCAGTGTACATGTGAGGCTGGTCAGGTCATTTAACTGATCTTACTGTGGGTGAGAGGATAAACCATGAGCCTTAGGTCTGATGCAAGCTTAGGTCTGAGGCAAACACATGAATTGGTATAAACCAGAGACCCAAGAGAGGACTCTCTACACTGTCTCCTGCTTTGATGGCGTAGCATAGGGAAAGATGCACCTGGTTAGGTAAGAGGTGTATGCTACTTGGTAGGGATTAGACCACGGACAAAAACTAACCCCATGTTGCTTATCCTTGCCCATCTCCTTTTTATAGCCAAGGGAGAAGAATGGGTAACTTCCATTAGGATCATGCTACAAGTTTTCATGGCAGAGTGAGACATCTTGGTTATATATCAGAAGTGTAACTCAGTGGTAGAGTACTTGCCTAGCATCTGTGAGGTTCTGGGGTTGATCCCCATCACCACCCAAAAAAAAAGAAAAGGATAAAGCTCAAAATCCTGAGCCAGATCCTCGAATGTGGTGCTTTCCCTGTAAGCCTCAGAAGACTTTGCTCTAATGTAGTCTACTGGCTTCATTGTGGTGAAGTTTTAAAAGCCACAAGTAATGAGGTAGTGATTCCAAACACAGGTTGATATTGGTAATRTATTTAGGATTCTTAGATCCCATTTAGGTTATAGCTATCTGATACTTCATGCGTGAGCCTGGATCAAAGCCATTCTAAACTGTTGAAATTTTTCCCCCCTTCCAGCATGTACGTCTGCTGTCCCGTAAACAGTTCCAGTTGAGGGCACTAATGCAAAAAGCAAGAAAGACTGCTGGTCTTAGTGACCTCTACTGACTTCAGCTGGAGTTTGACCTCTTCTTAAAGCATTCTTTTCTTCTCTTTTCTTTTATCAGTAGGTACCCAGAATAAGTTATTCAGTTTATCATTCAAGTGTAAAATATTTTGAATCAATAATATATTTTCTGTTTTCTTTGGGTAAAGACTGGCTTTTATTAATGCACTTTCTATCCTCTGTAAACTTTTTGTGCTGAATGTTGGAACTGACTATGCTAAATAAAATTTGTTGCATAATTTTTCTCTTCTTTTTTGGACTTCTTTAGGAAAGATCTATGAACCTTCATAAGAAGCAGTCTTCTCACTTAGCAACCAAAACATAATATTGATCAATAATAGTTACAATTTAGTGTTATTTATTCTATAGGATATAAAGAGAATTTTATTTAATATGGAATATATTTGAATTAAATATTGAAGGATTTGAAAACTGATCTTTTTGTGAGAGGTATGTGTACCTTACCCTCCCACCAGTCCTTGCTAGATCTGTTTCCTTTCTATGGCCTGATTGAACCATAACTGTTTCTGTCAGAGAGAAAGGAACAGAATGGCAGGTGCCAAGCTATACACCCAAATCTATGTTAGCTAGACAAGATGGTCTGGACATAATAGGATCTGTGCCTTCCCYTTTAATTGTTTCATAAGCATGATTGGATTTTCACACCATGTGTAAGATGTGCCCCCCTCAAATCTTTTTATAATGTCAGCACATTTCCTATCTGAAGTGAAAAAATAAACTTTTTTTTTTTTTTTAAGAAAAAGGGAAAGATACAATGCACAAGCATCCTTGTCTTTGTTGGTATTTGAAGTTCTGTCTTTATGGGAAGTGATGCTGTAACCAAATTTATGATGAAAAAATGAGCTACATACCTAGTAGATGTCCTGCAGAGCTCATCCAACTAGAACAAAATATTCCCCATCGAATTGAGAGTGGTAGAAGAAGAAAACATCCCAATGTGAAATGTTTTCCTTTGGAGATTTATACCTAGCCCAAGAGAAGAATAACCAATTGCAACATCAGAGGGGTTTATAGTTCAGATATTTTCTTAGAAAATTAAAATCCACTTATAAAAATTATCAGAATAAAAACTGCCAAGGTTAAACCAAGGTTTTTCTTAGGGTTAGGATTGTAGCATTTACATTATTTTTGTGTGTATGTGCTTTTTACATTTTAAAATCATGAACCTAAGGAGTAAGTTGGAGAAATAACATAACTGAAAGCTATTTTGTAGCAACCTAACATTGCTACAGAACTGAATTTCTCCTAGAAATTCCTTAGTTATTATTTAATGTAAGTACTAGATTTATGAAGGTAAGTTCAGAGATCCAGAAAATAACATAAAATCAATTTCACTACTAAAGTAAAGACTATATGGAAGTTGTTTAAAAAAAATACATTGAGTCCACTGGGTTGGACTCAGCAGTGAGCAAGACAGAAATTGGTCCCTGAATGCTAAATTTATCTGGTGATCCAGGTGCAGTGATGAATTCCCATAATGCCAGTGGTTCAGGAGGCTGAGACAGGAGTGTCACAAGTTCAAGGCCACCCCAGCAATTTAGTGAGGCCCTAAGCAACTTGAGAACTTAATTCAAAATAAAAGGTCTGGAGTTGTGGCTCAGTGGTGGAGCACCTGCTAAAAGTACAGAAAATATATAACAACATAAACTTGAGGCACTAATCTTMACCCTTGGCAGAATTCAGTATCAAAACTAATTTCTAAGGTACCAAAATCATGAAGCCTATTAACTAGAAACCACTTTTTCATGGGCATTTTTCCATATGAGAGTTCATAGCCTTCAAAGGAACACCAGCAATGTTAACTGCACTCCTCCTAAAAAAGAGGAAAAAGAAATCCATTTATTGTATATTACAGTGCATATTAGTGCTCTCACCCCCCGCCCCACCCCTGTGGGATCTGTGTTGTCCAGGCTGTCCTCAAACATCTGGGCTCAAGTAATCCACCTGCTTCAGCCTCCCAAATAAGCTGGGACTACTGGTACATGCCACCACACCCAGCTCAAAGGATTTTTTTAAAATTTGTTTTAATTGCTTTAGGTGATTTTCAACTAAGAGTGTTCAATAGAACCATCTACCATCYAAAAATTCAGGCAAGAAGTAATAGTGCACACCTGTAATCCCATCATCAGGATATTTGAGACAGGAGGAATATAAATTCAAGGCCAGCCTGAGAAACTTGGATTGTATCTCAAAATAAAATACAAAGGGCTGGGAATGTAGCTCAATGGTAGTGCTTTTTGTCTAGCATGCACAAAGCCCTGAGTTCAATTCCCAGTACTGCAAAAAAAAAAAAAAAAAGTGTTTTTGGTAAGATTTTTAGAAATTTTTAAAACTTAAAATTCTGAATCCCCAACCCTAGATCTTCCATGGATTGAGGGAATCTACGATTCAGACATTTTGACAGGTTCTCCAAGCAAGAAAGTGGCAGTTTTACACTGTCAGCTGTAAGTAATTTAAACTTCTCTCCCTTTAATTCCATCTCCATGTTCAGGGTTTATATTAGATTTCAAGGGTTTTCGCCAGAAAACTGCTATCACCAGCAGGACTGCTATCACCTCAGCACTCTTAATTTTCCCCAGTTATGCCCATTCCTTAATCTGAAGAATTCATATTACTTCACAATGCTGACCTTCCTGAACTAGAGTGTCCTAAGTACAAACTATATCATATATCATGTTACTTAGTTCTATATTCAAAAAGTGTTGTAATCTTAGCCATCTATATGTGGGATTCACTAACAATCTCACATTTTTCGAGTTTGTGATTATTTCTGGTGGATTCTTTTAAATGTTTTTTTTTAAGTTGTCGATGGACCTTTATTTATTCATTTATATGTGGTGCTGATAATCAAACCTATTATTTCACACATGCTAGACAAGTGTTCTATCAATGAGCCACAACCCCAGGCCCTCTGGTGGATTCTTTTATAAATAAATAAATGTGCTAAACATTAAAACATTATTAAAAGGGTTTAAAGTGAACTTCCCCACCAGGAACTCTCTCTGTTTAAATCTATATGGTCAAYACAGTCAAAATATCATTCAAAGAGTGTGCAAGGGCTTACTGATGCTTATTTCCATTCCTCCAAGGCTCATCTATCATCCCATGACAACTTTCAGAGAGGAGGTTAATCTTTGTCCAATAAAGAAACCGAAATGGACAACATCCAAATTAGTCATTTCCAGTTAGTACAGTTTTGGGAAAATATACTCAACTTCTAGGCTATATAAAATCTCCATTAAGAGAAAGCTCAGGGCTGGGGATGTGGCTCAAGCGGTAGCGTGCTTGCCTAGCATGCGTGCGGCCCGGGTTCGATCCTCAGCACCACATATGAAAAAAGATGTTATGTCCGCCAAAAACTAAAAATAAATAAATAAATAATTTTTTTAAAAAAAGCTCAAGTGAGAAAAAGTTCTTATCTAAAAGGTGACTCATTTTTTTAGATTGATCTAAATGAAAATGGTAAATCTGGGGGTTTTTTGGCAGGGGGGACATGGTTCTATATCCAACTTCATTTATACTATAACTTCCATAATATTTACCAAATAGAAATAAATTATGAAAAATCTTGTTGCTACTTTGCATATCTTGTATTGCAGAACACAGTAAGTTGACTGCATAAAAAATTTTTGAGAAACATGAATAAATGAACATTCCATTACTGAGTCTTTTGAGTAATAATATAAACAGTAATAATATAAAATAATTTATCTGACAAAAACAATTGTCTTAAGTCTGTTCATGCTGATTTAACAAAATAAATGTCATGCACTTGAATGATAATGTGGCCAACATCACACCATATATGCAACAGTAGTGGCATAGATTATATCCCTGGCTGACAAGGTTTGTGTTAAGTATACTCTGAGGTTTGTACAATGATAAAATATTCTAATATCTAAAACATTTTGAGTGCCAACATGATGCTCAAAAAGTTTCATATTGGACGATTTCAGATTTTCAGATTAGATTGTTCAACTGGCAAAAATAGATAAAAATATTCCAAAATCCAAAAATTCTGAAACACTTCTGGTACTAAGCTTTTCAGATAATGGATGATCAAATGATAGTAGTAAATGCCCACAAGAAAACAAGGAAGATCCTCAGGGGCCGGGGTTGTGGCTCAGTGGTAGAGTGCTTGCCTTAGCATGAGTGAGGCACTGGGATTGATCCCTGGCACCACATAAAAATAAAAAATAAAGGTATTGTGTCTACCTACAACTAAAAAAATATTTTGAAAGAAGAAAACAAGGAAGATCTCAAATTATAGAGTAACTTAAGAAACAACAATAGCACCTTTTAGCAATGAAACAGAAAGCCAAAGGAGAAAATTATACCAAAAATTAATTCTTTGAAAAGATCAATAAAACAGAAATCTATATTGACCAAGAATAAGAACAGAAGACTCAAATTACTAAAATCAGGAATGAAAGAGGGCACCATCGTTACTGACCTTAGAGAAGCAAATAGAATCCTATGAACTATAAGCCAACAAGGTAGTCAATTTATGTAAAATATATGAATTCCTAGGAAGAAAAAAACTATTGAAACTGGGTCAATTAGAAAGTTCAAATGGACCTACAACAAGTGATTTAATTCATTAATCTGAAAATCTCAAAAGCAAAACCTGAGCGCAGGTAAATTCACTGGAGAATTCCACCAAACATTACAATAACATTTTTTGTTTGTTTTTGGTTGCTCATGGACCTTTATTTGTAATTTATCTATATGTGGTGCTGAGAATTAAACCCAGTGCCTCACATATGCTCCGCAAGCGCTCTACCACTGAACCACAACCCCAGCTCCCTTTTTTTGTTTTTTGTTTTTAGTTGTAGTTGGACATGATACCTTTATTAATTTTTATGTGGTGCTGAGGATCAAACCCAGGACCTCGCACATGTGAGACGAGCACTCTACCGCTGAGTCACAACCCCAGCCCCTCAATAACAATTTTTTATGAACTCTTCCAGGAAAAAGATGGTGGGAATAGGTTACCACTCATTCTATGAAGGTAGAAAGAACATTTTAAGAATATAAATGTGAAGAATATAGATGTGAGCATCCTCAACAAAATGCTTGCAAAATAAATCCGGCAACAGTAAAAGGGACTGAATGGGATTCCCAGATTGGGATATCATCCAAAAATCAATTGGTAAAATATACAAATAAAGTACAAAAAATAAGCCTGGCCTAGTGGCACATACCTATAATCCCAGCTTTGCAGAAAGATGAGGAAGGAGGATTGTAAGTTTGAAGCCAGCCTGTGGGCAACTTAGCAAGACACTTTCTCAAAAAGGACTGGGGATGTAGCACAGTACTTTTTTAGCATATGCAAAATCCTGGGTTCAATCCCCAGTACCACAAAATAATAAATAAAAATTAAAAGGAAGGATAAGGATGTAGTAGTGCAGTGGTAGGTTGCTCAGCATGCCCCACAATACCAAAATAAGTAAAAAAAAAAAAAAAATATGATCACTGGGTGCCAGTTAATTCCAGGGACTTCAAGCTGAGGCAGGAGGATCTTGAGTTCAAAGCCAGCCTCAGCAACTTAGCAAGGCCCTAAGCAATTCAGCGAGAACCTGTCTCTGATAAAATATAAAAAAGGGCTGAGGATGTGGCTCAGACAGGAATGTAACATTATAAAGAAATCTTATGAAAATCTTATACAGCAAATATAATACTTAATGGTGAAAAAATGCTTTCCCT